CCCTTCCCCTCTCCCTCCAGTTACTCCTACATCTCTCCCAAATTCCTCCTCAGTTTTTATTGAAAAGTTTTTATTTGCTTGCTAACAAATTTACCATCCTTCCTTATGGACGACATCGACCATGAGATTATTTTCATTTCTTAGTAAATAATATCTCTATGAAATAAGAGGAAGGAAACATGACCCAAGAGGTAAAAGAAGTACAGATGCTTGCTAGGGACAAAAGTGTCTACTGATTCACTTCCTCAGAACCACATCGATCACTTCATACTCCATCTTCAGTGTTGTATTGGTTGTGAGGTCTCTAATCACACAGAAGATAAGGAAATAATCTCTACCATGAGAGAGAGTATGAGTTACATCCTGTGGCTTGGTTTAATTTATCTGCTGTGGGGGCAGACATCAGTTAAGAATCCTAATTTAAGAACATTAATTTATTTTATTAAGGCAGAGTTTACAAATGGAATGACATTGTGTATAACAATACCACAGATGCCTTAAAGAGTACAGGTGCTGGGGGCTAAAGAGATGGCTCAGCAGCTAAGAGCACTGATTGCTTTTGCAGAGGACCCAGGTTCAAATCCCACACAGTGGCTAACCATCCATAACTGCAGGTCCAGGGGATCCGATGCCCTCTTCTGACCTCCACGGGCACTGCACAATATGGGTGCACTTGCATGCAGGTAAAAAACTCATACACAGAAAATAAAAATAACAAAATATCTTTTAAAATTCTGTAGCTATGCTTATGACTGTCACCCCACATAGCACAATTCTGTTATTCCTAATTGTGACTGATGCCATGTGAACTTTATTTTTCTTTAGGGCTGTTATTGCTAACACAGACTCCGTTATTCATTACCATGTCCCTAAAATATATTACAAGATACACACTGGTGAAAAGAATGTGGCATCACTCTGGAAGTGATGAGAAAGAGTTGCTTGGTGTTCCTCTCAGCACACTGGTGCTTACACCTTTGCTGCTAGCTAGTATCTAACACGCAGTGGCATTCCAGTCAGTGTTAGGCATAGTATGGATCTGCTAATGCTCCACAGAAACTGCTGACAGGCACAGTTGTCTCTGCCACATGCCTGAAGGCACAGAAAAGGAAAGATAAGGAAGTCATCCGACTTAAAAGCAATGCTGGGTGCTGGAGGGATGGCTCAGTGGTTAAGAGCACTGGCTGCTTTTACAGAGGACCTGGGTTCAGTTCATGGCACCCACATGACAGCCAATAACATCTGTAAATCCATTTCCAGGGGTTCAACACCTTGTCACCTAGGGGCATTCCATGGCAAGGGGTACACTGACATACATGTAGGCAAAACACTCCAAATATAAATAAATGAAATATAAACAAATAATAAATAGCCTAAAAACAATACTGTTAGTCCATCGGATTCCAAACTTTGGCTGTGCTCTGTAAGTACTTACTAAATGTGAGTAAACTACATGCTTACTAAACTACATGCTTATACTAGGGATCAAAGGTACACAGACCACTTTAAGAATTTTCCTCATCTAAATTCACATTCTTTTCATTCTTATATTCTGTAAGGCAGTGAGGGAGGCATTGTGGAAGCACATAACACTGTAAGACAGTCTTCCCGTGCCAACCTGAAGGTGGCCCTGTGCGCACATATCCACCTGTGAAAGGACTAGCCTGTGTATTCTGTGTGGCTGATGTATCTTGTACAATGACTTTGGATCCTACAGGCAGCAATATGCCTACCTTGGTGATGGTCTAGTGGTTTCAAGTCATTAGTCATTTGTATCATTACAGATAAATTAACTGGTATTAAAACTTGGTAAATGCTAAAGGGCAAATTAGCAATCCAGTTACAAAGGTAATAAAGCTATGCAGCAGGAGGGATTTGTTAGAGGTATTGTAGCATAAAATGTAAACGTCCCACGAGGCAGAGGGGATAACTGTGCTTCTGGGCACAAGAAAAGTTAGACATGGAGCAGCCAAGGAAGGAAAGGGCAAGATGGCTCTAAGACTGCAATGAGATCCGTCAAACCAGAGGAGAGGTGCATTTTTAGGGCACTTTATGAAATAAAGCCTCATGTATTTCTGTGTTTATCTATTATACCACAGGAATTAATATGAGCTCTATTTTGTAAAAATTCATATATATGGGACTATTTCTACACTACAAACTTGACCATATATAGAAACAAGTGTGTGCGTGTGCATGCGTGTGTGTGCGTGTGTGTGTGTGTAAAGCAGAAAGGGGGGAAGAAGGGAAAGAGGAAAGGAGAAACGATTGTGAATCAGAAAGCAGGCTTTGCAGCGTGTCAGCAGAGGAAGCCATTCCCTATGGACGGAGCTGGAGTTACATCAGTTTTCCGGATTGCCTTATAAAACAAGTGTCATGCAAGTAGAGTTGAACACAGTCCATTGTCACATGCCTCTCTGTTTCCAAAATATCCTGCTTTATTAACTTCATCTTCTGGAACTTTCTATTGCATTTCCCTCTAATGCTCTGTCAGAGGATCTCTGGTTTCCCATCACTTGTGTGTCAGATTAATTTTCAGAGTTTATGTTCCCTGGCCATGGACCCATTGAGTTGACAAAATCCAAAAATATACAGATATATTTAAAGCACAAAATCCTTGGACTCCTGGCACCGCAGTACTAGACTCTGTATGTGGGTCCCTGGCACAGCAGAAGCAGACATTGGGCTTCAAGCACACACAACACGTGAATTTAACCCCGCTGTGCTGTGGCCATGGGGTCATCCGCTAAAATTAAACTCTTTTCCCCCCTTTCCTAAAATACCTAAACAAACTAAAACCAGCAATGTCAGTGGTCCACAAACTGGTATTCATTTTGGCATCTCCTCACACATGACCACAGAGACTACCTGAGACGCTCCTGACTAGGAGAGACCGGGAACGCCACTATGTGAATAAGTAATTGTTTTCACTAAATGAGTAAAATAAAATGAATGCTGCTTTTTCTAGCCAAGAAAATATTATTTGAGACAGAGAAATTGACAGTTTTACTTCAAAATTAATATTTTGCTTAATAGGTCATCTCTCAAACCATAGTTCTTTCCTTCCTTAGACTTATAATTGATTGTAGCTATTACTATTGCTCAAATTAAAATCTCTATTAATTCCAATCATTAGCCATTACATAAATTATTTTTTTAATCTTGCTTTTAATATTTTCCTGCTTTCTTTCCCCCAGTTGTGTTTTGTTCTGAGCTAGGCATTTTCAGAGGTAGAACTGGACATGGAGGATGCAGTCTCCTGATGGATGGAGGCACAGCCAGCATCCTTGTGTGCACTGCTCACTGGTCCAGGTCTTCTGCTCTGTACACAACACTAAAACATAGATAAAACCTATACTAGCTAGCAGGGAAATGAAGAGTCCCTGTACCCTAAGATAAAATGAAACAGGAATGTAAACCCCCAGACCTGCTTAGGACACAGGAACCTAGAAAATGGCACATTACTCTGTTCAAAAGAATAAAATGAAAGAAATATTAGCTCCAACAGCGTTGACCTCTGACAGACACTTTTCACTCCCTTTGTATGAACTCTCCCCTTTAAATGTGACTAGAAATTTTCTGCAGCCTCACTTAAGATTTAAAAATTGGTAATTAATTAAAAGTCAATTCTAGAAAAAATCTTACACTGTAATAAAATGCCTCTGTGATATTGTGAGTTTTGATTTAATTGCTTATAGGCTGATTTCAGCCAGTTTGTTTTGAAGTGTCAGACCCTCTGGAGAAAACATCCTTGACATTAATGTTATTAGCAGACCAGTTCAATCTAGGAACCTGGATTAGGTCTGGAAGTGATTAAATACAACAAACTTTTTTGAAAAAATTTCACTCGTTCAGGGAACGAGTAATAAGGTAAATTAGGCTCATCTATCATCTTGCAAAGGGGAATGAAAGTGAGTTTCATGTCTGCGTACGTGTATTTTACATGCACTTTTCCATCTGCCTGGCTTTATTAATTCTCTTAGGACACTTCGGGTTATATGTCTGGAAATTTTAGCCATCCAGAGAAAAGAAGGTTGAGAAATAATGAAAAAAATGTGCTGAAAGAATTCACATAAAAATTTTGGAAATTTTAAAATGAGAACAACAGACACTTAAAAAGTTATTGAACCAGAAAAAAAAGTCCTTCCTGGCAGGCACTTACGCAATCTACTGTAACTACTGAGTAAAAATAAAGGCTTTCAGACACAGTTCCAGAGACCAACCTGAAATTCAGCTTTCAGTTGAAAAGTAAAGATAACCTCACTCTGGGTTTTTTCCTTTCCTTTCTTATTTGATAATTAGAAAACAAACCAAAACATTAGTTATTATAAGGTCAATTTTCTCAGGATGCTTATTCCATCTCTTACTCCACAAACACACACCAACTACAGGGGATGTGTGTGCAGTCTGTGCACCGACACTGACTTTCAAAATAATTCACATCAATATGAATCTCACTGTCCCTCTGATGGGTTGTTAAAAACTTAAAATGACAAGTGGACAGACACTTCTTCCAGAGGAATTAACTCAAGTATTTCAAGTTCCTGAAGGCCAGCAATCAAGAAATAACAGTTACATGCTCAGATCTGGGAAGAGATTGGAATTACTTAAGGAGATGGGGAAATTATGGTTTAAATTGTCCTTTTTTATGTAGTTTATTCCATGTTTCTTGAAAATTATCTCATTTCTTTCAATACAGAGTTTGGTTGAACTTGAACTAAGTTTCTCTGCTTTAACTCTCAAGAGTTAATAAAACTTAGGCTATCTAGTCCCAAGTGGTCAGCACTAAATGCATGTACATATAAGAAATTCTAAAAAGACTCAGTAGGTAGAATATCTATCTATCATCTATCTATCTATCTATCTATCTATCTATCTATCTATCATCTATCTATCTATCTATCTATCTATCTATCTATCTATCATCTATCTATATATTTACAAAAGAAGTTACAGCATTCGGAGGGGTTGAGGAAGGAGTTGGAGGAGGACGAGGGAGAAAACTAAGCAAACACAGTATTCACATATGAAAGTCTCAAAAAATTTAACATACAAAAGCTTAGCAAACATGAAAACCTTTTATGATTTATTATTCACTTATATAAAGTTACATATAGTTTTGTGGTACAGAGTTTTGTGCCTAGAGTGCATAAGAACCTGGGTTTGATCTCTAATACCAACAACAAAAAAAAAACCAAAATAAAACAAAGTAGAAACAAGTTCATAAGATTTTTTTCCAGTCAATATTCTATGAACGTTTTCTTATTTACCAACTTAGCATCAATCAAAACCAATGCTACATTGATTTTAAAGGTATGAGACTTCAATTGAAAAAAAATAAAGAGAAAGAGAGAGAAAACCTCTCTACAAATATCTATTGATTGTTGTTATAAAGATTTTTCAAGCCCAGAGGAGCTGAGCTGGTTCAGCGACTAAGAGAACTTGGTGCACAATCGTGAGGCCAGAGTTCAGTTCCCAGCACACAGGTGACAGGCCTGGCCTCCTGCAAATCCTTGGAACTCCAGGATCTGAGGCCTTCTTCTGGCCTCTGCCCCCAGATGTCCACATACCTGCACGTAAATGTGAGCATAAACTCAAACTCACAGAGAGAGAGAGAGAGAGAGAGAGAGAGAGAGAGAGAGAGAGAGATCTTAAAGAGAAAAAAAAAGACTTGCAATAACCGAGTGTGACCCTTTCAAGACCTCTCCACATCTCACCTGTACTTTCTCACTGAGATCATATCCTTTCTAGCGTCAATCAATCCCCAGATTGTTTTATCCCAGATAGGACTTCCTTTGTTCCAAAATTGGATGGACGTTTCATGTCAGCTGTCCACAACCAGTCCTAGTTCTAAGCTCACCACCATCCATCTATGTGTCAGCATCCCCACCACGCCCAGGCTAGGAAGGAATACTTTGTTGCCCTTTGATTAGTTACATCTATGGAAAGACTTCACAGTGCCCTTCAGGGCATCTGCTAATCATTCCACAGTGATCATTTTGTCATAGATTGGCAACAGTGCACATCAGTGACAGGTATCCGAGAACACATGTACTAGAAAACACAGTCTACACAGGTTCTGGTGGACAATGTTGGGGTTCACAAACTTAAAGAAATTATCAGAATGGCTGGGAATTTGGTCAGCTGAGGTCCTGTCAGGAAACAAGGGCAGATCCATGAGGGAGTCTGAAGATAAATAAATAGAAGAACATTTATAACACCCTGGGCAAGGTGCAAGCATCAGTGAGGTATGTCAGGACACCGAGGGATTGCCACAGCAGAAGCCCCAGGGTTGCAAGTGCCAGTGTACCCTCAACTCAGGGAGACCCCGCAGAACTTCTGAACAACAAAATCCCTAGAGCAGACACATCCGGCCCTCGCTGATCCTGGTCAGTCCCCACGGCCTCTAATGGCTTCATTCAGCATCAAGTCGGAGGTCAAGGGAAAATGGCTGATATTGCTCAGGAGAACGGACAGTCCTCTACCAGGGTGGTGGGGGCGGTGGGGTGGAGGGGGAGGGAAGCGGGCAGCTGTTTCCCTTTCCACCACCACCTTTGCTTGATGCTGGTGTTGAGGCACTATATCAGATAGAATGCCTTCCAATCTTTTCACTTCATGGCAGGAGATACTAAGGAAAAAAACTGGGAGTCAAATATAGAAGGTCAGGGTAAAGAACAAACCTTTCGGGGTGGGAGCGGCAGCTCAGTGGTTACAAGCATTCGCTGCTCTTTGAGAGGACCAAAGTTCATTTTCCAGCACCCGCGTCAGAAGCTCACAACCTCCTGTAATTGCTATTCAGAGAGGATCTGACGCTCTCTTCTGGACTCCACAGACCTGAGGCGTTACTATGCCAACATTATAATTACCTGAATAAAACCCTAACTCTTAAATTAAGTTTTTAAGAAATGGCCTGAACTCAGGGGACATGCGTTCCCCCAGATGTCTCCTGGAACTGTGCTGATGGAACTGTCTCTGGAACTCTGTCCCTGGAGCTGTGTCCTGAGTCTGGCCCCACTCATGATTTAATTCAAAATGGTTTTTCCAGCTTCACTTGGGGAAGTACAAGTTTGTTTCCGTCCTAATCTTTTTTAAATACATTATTTATTTTTATTTTATGTGTACGTGTGTATTGCCTGCATGTAAGTGCACCCGTGTCATGCAATGCCTACAGAGGCCAAAAGAGGGTGTCAGAGCCCCTGGACTGGAGTTATGGACAGTTGTGGGTGCTGGGAATCAAACCCAGGTCCTCTATAAGAGTAGCCAATGCTCTTAACTGCTGAGCCATCTCTCCAGCCCTGTTGCACCCTAATCTTAACAGACCATCTGGACTTTTCATCTCTAGTTCTAGAATATCTCATTTACCCAAGGTCAGTCATCCTTCCCAACCTCCACAGGGCACCTCCTCTCAGCGCCTTGACACGTTCATTCTCACACTGGTTCACTCATTATCTTCTTGGGGGAGTACCAAATTGGGGAGCCCAGGTCACAGGACACAAGAGCACATGGTTTTGCTGGGAGTGAGTCATTAGTCCATTTACAGGTCATTCCCACACAGGTCAAGGCACTCACATGCAGACATTGATATGTTTAATCTAAAAATAAATCTTAAATATTTGGAAGGTCTTTGTGTAATAGTTTGAATATAGACTTTTTTCAGTTTTATTGAATTTTTGCAAATTTAATACAATATATTTTGATCATATTTAGATTTCTTCTATCTGTCCCCCTCAATATCCCCAACCCAAATTCATGCTTATCAAGTCAAACCTGTCTCCAAATGCCCTCAGTGTGGGTCCATCCACTGAACCATGCTCAGTCTAGGCAGTTCATATCCTTACAGAAAACTGACCCACCTCTCCCAGCAGTCACCAGCTGCCAGCAGCCCCTCCTTCAGCCTCTCCACTTCTGGGATTTCGTCCGGCTTGAGCTTATGTGGCTCCTGTGCATGCTGTCACCATGCTGTGTGTTCATGTGAGCACTCCAGCTGTCTGGAAAACTGTTTCCTGTGGTCATCCACAACCTCTAGTGGTACAGTATTTCCACACACCCTCCTCTACACAATGATGCCTGAGCCTTGGGAGGCAGAGGTTTGACAGAAGTGTTCTAGTCAGAGAGAGCACTCTGTAGTCTGATTCTCAGGTGTTGTTCTTGTGGGTCTCAGTGTTAATCACCATCTGTTGCTTAGGGAAGCTTCTCTGATGAGAGCTGAGAGATGCACAAGTCTATGGATGTAACAGTAAGTCACTAGGAGTCAGTTTAATACTGTGTCCACTTAACAGAGTAATAGCAGTAGGCTCTCCCCTGTCTAGCTGCAGGTTCTGAGGCCTGATATCAGTGTCAGGAATTATGTATTTTTAAACTGGTTAAGAATAATGTGCTTCATTAAGATATTTTAACCTATGTCTATTGTTCACACAAAAGCACAGTTCTCATCTCAAGAGACAGTTTATTCTGGAGCCAAATATGAGTGGCTGTGGCCTGGGAGCACAGATTCCTGTCACCCCAAATTCCGTGTTCCACTTGGAAGCCATTTCCTGAAGTTTTTATAGTAACAGAACAAAGAACTCCTACATCATCAAGACACTTTTCAAATACATTGGTGGATACATTCAGTATCGGTTACAGCAAAAGAGTGATCTCAGCTGGAGGCTCAGATGCTGTCTGATGGCAGTCTTAGCCTTGTGGTTGGCGGAAGCTAGGGCTTCCTTCCTAAAGGTTGTATACCTGCTAGTCACAGGAGTGACTATTGGGCAAGGAGTGGCTATTTAGGGCCAAACATGGCCCAAGATACACTGTAAATGGACTCTGGATCTGCAACAGTCCAAACTCTCACAGTCACGGAAGTGCTAATCAGTCTGCCTTGCAAGAAGTTCAGTCCAAGGCAGTTTGTCTGGGATCTTTTGTTCACTGTCACTTTATGCCTTTCATACTCCCCACCCTGGCTTCCCTTAGTGCCCTAAAAGTCCCTTCCACCTTCGTGTTACAGATAACAGATCTTCAGCTCGTTCCTTAATCTAGGCTCTGCAAATTAGAGAAAAATGTAATCTCGGTCTTTCTGAGTCTGGCTTATTCAGCTTACTACAAAGACCGCTAGTTCATCTGTTTCCCCCAAAATGGCATAGTTCAGAGGACAGATCCCAAGATTTAAAACTCTGTTTTAAGAGAAAATTAAGCTTGTTTCATAAATGCATTTGTGTTTCTGTGTCTAAGTTGTGTGTGCATGTAGTGCATGTGTGTGGTGCAGAACTTAGGTGTTCAGATGCATGTGCCCATGTGTGTATTTGTAGATGTCTGAAGAAGCTCTGTTGGGAGTCTTCCGCCTCTGGGCTTGCTGTTACTGCTTGGAGATAGGGTCTCTTATTGAATCAGAAGCTCATGGCTTTGGCTACTGGCTGGTAAGCAGGGTCCTGGGATTCATGTGCCTCACAAGCATGCCTGACATTCAGCTCCTCCACAGTCTTTCACGGCTACCTGTTGATGACTGACTTTGGAATACAAAAATGAACACATCCGTACTTCCTCTAGGCCTGCTGACAGAAGCTGCTGCATCTGACCACAGTGGCGGTAATGGAATGCATAGTGAAGACAGGCACAAAACGCACTAGGCTGTCACGGTTCTCCTCAGACCTCTCTGAGGCAGGCTCTGAGTCACTCCTTTAGTTCTTTCTGCTGCCCAGCTTCCATGGTTGAATAACATACTATTCGTATTTTATCTAATACACTTTTCAAAAATTTATTTTTTATTTTTAAAAATTACTTTTTATTATTTTATGTATATGTTTTGCCTGCATTTATGTCAGTGTACCACCCAAGTGCAATGTCCAGAGAGGCCAGAAGAGGGTGTTGGATCCCCTGGTGCTAGAGTTATAGACAGTTGTTAGCTGCCATGTGTGTGCTTGGCATCAAAGCTGTGCTCTCTTGCAAAAGCAGCCAGTACTCTTAACCACTGAGCTATCTCTCCGGTCCCATAATTTACTTTAATTACATGTATGTATGTGGGTTTGTGAATGTGAGTGCACTGCCTGTGGAGGCCAGAAGAGGGAATCAGGTACCCTGAGGTGGAGCTATGGGTTGTGAGCAGCCCCATGTACTGGCAGACTAACACCATTCTCTGAAAGAGCAGTGTCTGCTCATGGCTGAGCCAGCTCTCCAGCCCTATGACATCCTACTGTCATAAAACTGTCGACTACTTGGCCTCTGTCCTCTGTTCCACTTTCCTATATACCAGGGGCAGAGAGTTCACAACCTAGGAAGACAGCTGAAATACATATGTATTATGGGAAAAAATAAGTATGTATTACGAAATGCATAAGAACTTAACTAATTTGAATGGCTCAAGTGAGAATTTAACATAAAATCCAGTTTTTAGGTGATTAGAAAGGTGTGAGCTGGTGGTTCTCAGAACTGACCCTGTCACCCCTACCAAGGCTCTATGGGAGTTTTTCCTCCTTGGGTCTGGCTCTCTTACCTGAACCTCGAGGTTGCCGGGCAGTCTTGAGGCTTTTCCCGACTCATCCTTTGAGCTTTAAGTTGAAAACTTGGTGTAAAGGAGGCTTTTCCCAACTCCTAAGACCTGGTGACACATTATAGTCGATCATCAAATGTGGCTTATTAACTTACCATCTCCTTCACATGGAAAATGACCATGTCTGGGGGGACAGGTTAGCATTTAGCAATGTAACACTAGACCCATCACCACACATTCCATCACATCCATGACAGAGTGGTCCAGTAAGCCAATGAGCAAGTCACTCCTGCACAGGTGACTGTGGGCTTCGAGTAGCCAAGCCCAGCAACGCTAAGATTCAGGGTACAGTCAGGATAATACAAAATAACTACCACAGGACCAAATAACAGTACCGGCTAATAACACAGATTTAAGTGTATGTACATTCGTTTCCGGCAAGAGAGCCTAGAATTTAGCACAGGGTCTACCCTGCCATCAATTAGCAGATTAACTCAAGCTTTAAAGTTACGTTTGGCTAGACAGCTAGAGGGTTGTAATGGCAGTTACTGGGGAGGTCGAGGCAGGAAAGATAAAAAGTGCAAAGCCAGCTTGGACAGTCTGGCTGGATGGTTGCTCAAAACGAATAAAAAGGAAAAGAAAACAGCAGGAAAGTTCTGGAGATGCAGCTTGGTAGAGGGCTTCCCTGGCATGTGTGAGGTCGGGAACTCAGTCATGCCTGGAGTTGCCCATTATGACACACGTCCGCATATTTTTTATCTACTGTGTACGCGTGCATTGCCTGCGTCATGCAATGCCAGCGGGGGGTCAGAAGAGGGGTGGGATACCCTGGAACCGGAGCTAGCCAGTTATAAGGGGCCTGGGATTCGCACCTGGGTCCCCAGTGTTCTTAACTGCTGAGCCATCGTTCCAGCCCTCACGTCCGCCTTTTACGGGAAGTTCTGGAAGTTTCTCCCAGGCACCTTCAGAGTAAGCACGGGTGGAGAATCCCGGAGCTGCAGTTCCCGCCATCTCACAAACTGAAAGCATAAGGAGCCCAGGAACCCGGAAGTCGTGGAGGCAAGACTGACAAGAACGCTGGCCAATCGCAGCACGGGAAGGCGGGCGCTGCCAGGGCCGGGCCAATCAGCGCGCGGCGCGGGCGGGCGGAAACGGCGGCATGGAGCGACTGCAGCTGCAGCTGGCGCGCTTCTCCGAGCTGTTGGCGGTGGCCCGGGGACCGCGGGTGCGCGCGTGGGACGCGGAGGCGGTGCGGCGAGGCAAGACTGACAAGAACGCTGGCCAATCGCAGCACGGGAAGGCGGGCGCTGCCAGGGCCGGGCCAATCAGCGCGCGGCGCGGGCGGGCGGAAACGGCGGCATGGAGCGACTGCAGCTGCAGCTGGCGCGCTTCTCCGAGCTGTTGGCGGTGGCCCGGGGACCGCGGGTGCGCGCGTGGGACGCGGAGGCGGTGCGGCGGGCGCTGCAGTGGGCGCGCTACCTG